TATGTGAAGTCTTTTGAGGAACCTCCATACTGCTTTCCAAAGTGGTTGAACAAGTTTACATTCCCACCAACAATGAAGTAAGGTTCCTTTCTGTCCACATGTGAGATTCCATCTTAACCAACAGGCTATATGCATGGTATCCTATGCCTATACTCTCAACTACAAGGAAAGCCATAGGTGAGAGAATCACATTTGGAAGTTTGCCTTATTAAAAAATCTGAGACCCTGTCTCAAAACAAAACAAAACAAAATACCCTAAAACAAAAAGAGACTGGGGGACATGGCTCAAGTCAAATCCTAAAACTGCAAAAAAAAATTTATATGTATGTATGTATGTATACACGTGTGTGTGTGACTGAATGATCAATGGTACAGGAAAGGTTTAGTGTAGGTCCAAAGTAAGTCTGATTACTCTAAATATTTTACAAAAACATTAAAAAGTATTCAACTCTTCCCATTTCTGATCAGTCTCTCATTCTTTATCTTTTTAAATTTTTACTTTAGGAAGATGCTAAGCACAACCTACATCCTGCATTTACACTCATTCATTTACATTTTTGTCAACCTAGCCTAACTTTGCTTCTACTACTCCATCTATTCCATCTACTCTAACGTTAATCTGTGCTTTCCTTTATGCAAACAGGTATCATCCAGTTTTGTTTATTAAAGTTCTCTCCCTATAGCTGATCTGTTAATGATTTTCCTTTTGGAGTCTCTTCTCTTCAGATCAACATTTGAATATAGTTGTTTCTAGGAGGATAAACCTGCTCCCAGCCTGACCTTAATTACTATTTACACAGAAATATCCCATACCTATCTTTATCTCTTTGACCTGACCTATTTCTGGGCTTTAAACTCCACTATCTCTGGCCCAATAGCTCATGCCTGTAACCCCAGCTACACAGGAGGCAAAGACCAGGTTATATATAATTTGAGGATAACCTGGGCAAAAAAGTAAACAAAACCCCATCTCAACAAAAATACTTAGGCATGGTAGTGTCTGTCTATCATGCTAGCTACGTGAGAAGCATTAAGTAGAAAGATCACAGTTCAGGTAGGTCTGGGTTAAAAAAAAATCTCAAAAATAACCAAAGCAACTACTACAACAACAACAACAAAAGGCTGACAGTGTGGATCAAGTTGTAGAGTGTTTACCTAGCAAGTGTGAGTCCCTGAGTTAAAAGGCTAGTAATGCCAAAATAATAATCTGAATAACAACAATAATAATGTCTACCCCAATGCATTAGGTGTGGGATTCTTTCAATCTGCTCAGTCCTGGTGACATACTAATGAACAGGGCATATTTTGAGCAAATCAGAATGCCATAGGCACCTCAGTACAGCCTGACTAAAACCAATCACCTCTCTGAAGGCTGACCTATCAGCCAGATTCTCTGATGGAGGGATTTCCATACAAGGGTAAACACTGAAAGTATCTTTGACAATCGCTTCTGGATCTTTGCATTGTTTTCAATGCCAACTACTCACATACATGCACACATAAATATTCTCTTTATACACAGTGGCACATTAGGAAAGAGAAAGAAAAATTTGTCAGCCTTGCTAATGGGCTGAATTCTTCACTGGTTACAGCTCACACCAACCTTTCCCTACTACATGTATACCCTTTCCTATTAACTTCCACCCATTGCCTCCACTTTATCATTTGTGTTTTCTAAGGGTACAAGGGCATGTGCTAACTGATTATCAACTAGCCAAAAATGTCACTCTATACTTTTTAAACAGTAATCACTATAAAATAAAGACAAATGCAAGGCACAAGTTATGACTACAAAGTTAATGATTATGTGGCTACTGATAATTTCCCTCACTCTTCTTTTCTAGAAACAGAGTAGACAAAATTATATGTGTGAGTGTGAGAGAGAGAGAGAGAGAGTGTGTGTGTGTGTGTGTGTGTGTGTTGTTTTTAAAAGCCTGACACCAGTGGCAATCCTAATTACTCAGGAGGCTAAGATCTGAGGCTGGTGATGCTATGCCAGCATGGGCAGGAAAGTCCATGAGATTCTTATCTCCAATGATCTACTCAGAAAAAGCCAGAAATGGAAGTGGTGTTGTGGATCAAGTGGTAGAGTGCTAGCCTTGAGCACAAAGAGGCTCAGAGATAGTGCCCAGGTCCTGATTTCAAGCCCCAGTCCCCCCACACACACACAAAAAAAAAAAAAAACAAGCAAAAAGGTTTATATATCCTGAATCAATTAATAGCCATTTTCTATAAATGTTAATAAAATATTAGGTCCTTAAATATCGCTCTGCACCAGAATCAACTCCAAATGGATCAAAGACCTTGAGAAAAGAGCAGATACTCTGAAAATAGTACAAGAAGGGATAGGGGATACATTAGGGCTCTTTGGCACAGGTTGAAACTTCCTAAATAAAGAGCCAGAAACACAAAAATCAAAGAAAGGCTGGATGACTGGGACCACATTAAACTGCAGAGCTTCTACATGGCAAAGGACATAGCTACCAAGATTAATAGTAAGCTCACAAGCTGGAGAAGATCTTCACTATTTTACACAACAGGCAAGAGCTTTATATCAAAAATATCCACCCCAATAAAAAATCGTCAAACAACCACCCCATTAATAAGTAGGCTAAAGAATTAAAAAGAGACTTCTCTGGAAATGAAATAAGAATAACCAATAGATACATCAAGAAATGTTCAACATCTCTGGCCATAAAAGAAATGCAAATCAAAACCATGTAGAGATTACAACTCACCCTAGTTAGAATGGCCATTATCAAGAAAACAAATGATAACAGGTGCTGGTGAGGATGTGGCCAAAAGGGAACCCTACTACACTGTTTGTGGGAATATAAACTGGTTCAACCACTCTGGAAAACAGTGTGGAGATTCCTCAAAAGACTAAACATAGAGTTCTGCTAAGATCCAGCAATCCCACTTTTGGGCATTTGCCCAAATGATCACAAACCAGGCCACACTGAAGCTACCAGAACAACTATGTCCATTGCAGCATTATTTACCATAGCTAAGATATGGAGCCAACCCAGATGCCTCTCAGTAGATGAATGAATAAAGAAAATGTGATATAATACACCATGGAATTCTATGCTTTCATCAGAAAGAATGACACTGCCCCATTTGTAAGGAAATGGAAAAACTTGGAAAAAAATCATATTAAATGAAGCCAGACCCAAAGGAACATAGGCTCCATGGTTTCCCTTATTTGTAATAATTAGTATATGTCCTAGCAGAGGATCACAATAACTTAATACCTATGTACATTCAACCATATAAAATGATGCTAAATGAAATGAACTCCAAGATATAGAAACAGAGGAACTTTTTTTGTTATTTATGTGTTTGTTTTTAATGTATTGTATGCGGTTCTTTCCTTTTTTCCCATTTCTATCCTTTGTCGTTGTATTTGATTTTGGTACACTGTAGATTGTATATCGTTTATCTGAATTAGGGAAGGGAAGGGGAAAAACAAAATGGTTAGAAAGGGTAAAGAGTAAACCAATGCAACAGTGATACTCACAAGACAATATATTGGAAATGAAATGTACAACTTGGAGGTACCATTGAGGGGAAAGGAAAGTGGAAGAAAAATAAGGGAGAAGGTAACAATGTTTGACAGGAAATGTACTCAACTACCTTTATGGATGTAACTGTAACCCCTCTGGTATATCACCTTTACAACAAAATAAAACTAAAGTAAAAAAATATTTCTTCCCTTTTATCTCATGAGTCACTATCTCTCAATGGTCCTATTCCTTATGCTTCAGCACCTCAAGTATACTTGTACATTTATATGCAGTACAAAGAATCTCACCCTCATAATCAAGCCTGCTTTTGTCCTTTCCTTCCCCTGTGTATGAATTTCCTCCTTATATTGGTGATTTCTATTTTTTAAGGGTGCTCACATGTATTTCCAGAATTCTAAAATGTTCATGTAGCAAAACTGGAAAACACAGACTTATTATTCTGTGGGTGACAGCAGGGAACAAGAATTTTTGCTCATTTACAATATTTTTTCCTCATTCATTATAAATTATGCTGTATTTCCTCTGCTTGAGAATAGGACTTGTGGATGGATAAGAGCCAAAGTGTGAAAACAGCACTGACAGAAAAATTTAGTCACTGCTGAGTGCTTTTCCTCACACTCATGGAGCAAAGCCTTCAAGTTGGTATCCCTCCCTGAAAAGAATTTATATGAATTATTTCAGCTCCAAGCATGGTTCTAGAAAAGGTATATCTTACCTGGTACTTTGGAAGCTGCTCCTTGGTTTGTGGTAAAGACCCTCCAGAAGAACTATGAGAAAAGATACTATTGCTGCTGCTGCTGCTGCTACTGCTGCTGCTGACACTGTTGTTGTCACTGCTGCCTCCTTGACAGCACTTGGCTGACATTTTAACAGGAATATCTTCTGTTTTCTGGATGAAGAAAGGCAGGCAAGGAAAGGGTCTGTAAACACTATCAGGCTTCTTCAACATGCTATTCAATGAAATGATTTCATCAAAACATGTGGTGCCTGTGTTGTATTAAAAACAAGAAGCTCTTTAAAATTTTTCTTTATAATGATTACAAAAATATAGTTTCTGAATATCTATAATATTTAGGAGGAGGGATCATGAAAAGGGATACTAGTAAAATGGTTCTAGAGAGAAAATGTTTAGAAATTAAGATTTATTCTCCTTAAATAAGTTTACTAGAATGTACATCTAAAGCCATACTATAAAATCAACTATGAAAACTGGTCTTGGATTTGGTTATTAGGTTTTAATACCTGTAGAGTAAAATGCATGAAACTGGTGAGGAGCAAGATGACAATTCAAGTTTAAAATTTTTACAAAGTAAATGGAACAAAACACAGCTATTAACTTAGACACCTTTTCCAGTACTCCTTTAAAGATAACAAGAAAAACCATGAGGCTGGGGCTGGGAAGGTGGCGCAGTGGAAGAGTGCTTGCTTTGCATTCATGAGGCCCTGGGTTCAATTCCTCAGTACCACATAAGCAGAAAAAGCCGGAACTGGCGCTGTGGCTCAAGTGGTAGAGCGCTAGCCTTGAGCTGAAGAGCTGAAGGACAGTGCCCAGGCCCTAGGCCCAGAGTTCAGGCCCCACAACCGGCCAAAAAAAACCATAAGGCTGAAATTGTGAAAGATGAAGCCAAACCCTGCTATTGTGAACTATAACTGAGCATGTGATGGGAATCTGGTCTTTAAAGATTATAGGTGACAGATACTATACACTCCCTGAAGTAAAATTCATTGCTAATTTTTATGACAGTGATATAAGTATATGAAGATATACCATTATGGAGCTGGGAAGGTGGCTCAGTGGTAGAGTGCTTGCCTCTCATGCATGAGGCCCTAGGTTTGATTCCTGAGCACCATATAAACAGAAAAGGCCAGAAGTGGAGCTGTGGCTCAAGTGGTAGAGCACTAGCCTTGAGCTGAAGAGCTCAGGGACAGCACCCAGGCTCAGAGTTCAAGACCCAGGACCAACCAAAACAAAACAAAACAAGATACACCATTGATGTTCACCATCATCATCTACCAGTGTGTGTGTGTGTGTGTATGTGTGTGTGTGTGTGTGTGTGTAGTATCATTCTCTATAGGAGTACCCCAAAGCCTCCATGAGAAGTAGTTTCTATTCTGAATCTTCTTTGCCTTTTTTTTTCCTTAAGTGGCTTTTGAAAAACCATGAATGTAACTGCAGCTTTATCTAATCTTCAATGTGACAGTCACACTGGTGGTCTATTATTGCAAATGCCTGCAATCATGTGCTTGATATAAACTCATGACATAGTGTGCTTACTAAGGGGGTAGAGGAGCTGTAAATAGGAAACGAACATAGGGAAAACATAAAATATGCTGGTCCACAACAGTCAGTCACTCCAGTACTGACAGTGCTCAAAGTTAACCTGTGTTAACCAGAACACCCAGCACTCCTTCAACACCCTCTTCAGATCTAGCTTCTACTTAACACCACTTAACCTAGAAACACAACTCCTAAGAAACCACAGGGAGTTCTACTTGCTTCTGACTGCCTGCCCCTCTGGCTAGAGTACAGGACACTGGATGATCTATAATTAGAGGGCATACCAACCAGATTCTTTTATGGTCTTGAGCAAGCTACAAATGTCCTTGAACCTAAACTGCCTTTTTTATTATAGGAATATTTTTAAGAAAGTCTATGGCCCAGTTTGCAGAGTTACCATTGCTCAGGAATACTGACTGACAACTCCAGTTTCCTTTGAAACCATTTCCCCTCCATCTGCTACATCCGTTAGCAGCTGTACTGATAGGGATGTGGATGTCCATCCTGTGTACAGTAGATTATGTGTCAAGTGCTGGCTCACCTAATCTTTTGATCTCAATCTACCATTAAAGCCTAGGTGAATCATGTGAGAGATTCCTCAGACCTCCCTTCTACCTATCTAGCAAGCACAGCGACAACCACTGTAATGATTAGCTACCTGGTAGAATGCCACAATAAAGTACATTTCCTTTCTGTAAAAGTGATCCTTATCAAAAGAAGGAAAACAGCTCATTGGCCCTGATGAGATAAAACTAGTATAAACTGCTTATTTATTTAGCTAAACATTCTACCAACTGCCAGAATAAAACATGAAAAAAATGAGTACTGGATTTATTTAACTTATAAGCAACTGAACAAATACTGAAGTAAAAATCCTATTGTAACAATCAATAAGTATCCTGGACTGATATCCATCCAGCTCCAGCAAAGTCCAGATTTTTCTCACCTCAAAGAGATCATTTCTAATGTCTACCACCTTTCCAATCCCACTCCCCACAAAAAGGAAATGAATACAAGTATACTTTGTCAGTTAGGGTTGAAAAATATTCTTTTTTGAAGATGCCAATGCATGTTAGCATATCAAAGCCCAATTTAAGCTTGTTTAACTCAGTGCTATAATAGCTTTTATTTAATTTCATTTAAAATAAAATTCATAGCCAGGCACTGGTGGCTCACACCTATAATCCTAGCTACTGGGGAGGCTGATACGTGAGGACAGCAGTTTGAAGCCAGCACAGGCAAGAAAGTCCTAGAGACTCTTATCTCTTTACCCAAAAAGCTTGAAGTGGAGCCAGGGCTCAAGAGATAGTATGATAGCCTTGAGCAAAAGAGCTCAGGGACAGCACCCAGGCCCTAAGTTCAAACCCTTGAACAAATAATAATAATAATTTTTTTAAAAATTCAAAATTAAGATTAAATTTTATTTAAAATTTAATTATACTGGCCTAGAATAGATAATCCTCCTACTTCTGCTTCCTAGATGCTGGGATCATAAGTGCATACTACCATGCCCAGCTTTAGAATACTTGTTAATGTCTATGAGAAACACTGGACAGAATGACGTATTAATTTCCTTTTAAACAAACAAGCTAGTGCTTTAAAATGTTAAGAGTTCTATTCTCTTACTACATTTGATAACACATGGTCTCAAAATCTTATTGGGACTGCAATTACCAACAAATCCTGATGTTTATGGTATACAACACTGGCACCTATCATGATTATGTACTACCAATAGACATGTACATGCCTGTCTTGGAAAAAAAGATCTCCTTATGTTGCTTTGGAGCCATTATTGGCTGTACAATATAATTCAGACAGAAGAATATGTATTAATAAGTTACTGATCAAAGAAAACTATGCACCATTTCCTACCTGGGCTGCCACCTCTTCCAGCTTTTGAACAGCTTTGGAATCAAATAAGACTTGTCTGCCTCTCCTCTCACAGTCCTGGTACACAATCAGGCGAATCTCACTTACATCCAACTCTGAACATGACCAACTGTGAATTCAAAAAAGGGTGAGAAGTTATATTATCTGCAGTTCTTGGGATGATCATGTATAGTAAATTTTTCAGCTGATATACCCATGTGCATGTCAGAGGGCCACATTTGTGCAGAGAGAGTAATCTTATACTGGAGCAGCTAGTAAGTCTGGAGCAGGTGGCTTCAGGTATAAACACCACCATGCCACAAAGTTATTATCACAAAAGGTGGAATGAATATTTTATGTACTAAATCACTCGAAAAAGAGCTTCTTCCAATGCCAGTCTTGGTACAGACGGAAACCAGAAATTGCAAGGACATGTAGAGAAGGCTGTTTGGATGTCTGGGTTCTACGGAAGGCACATAAAAGTTAGTGTCACTGGACAGGAGGCCATCTGAGCAAATCAGGAGAGTCTTCTTATTCCCTGTCCTAGTCAATCACTCTCAAGTCAAATTAAAATGAGTATGTACCCTGAAATTTATTACTGGTTCAATTCCTAGTACACACACACACACGCGCGCGTGCGCGCCAGAGGAAAGGAATGAAAGTGTACAGTGGGCATATAAATCCATTCATCACATAGTTGAGTATTGTATTCAAGGTTCTGTAGTAGATGCCAGAGTCAATAATTAATCAAACAGACTTGGAGCCTAATATCCCAGCTTTTCAGGAGGATGAGATCTGAGAATCAGTTTGAAGGCAGCCTAAGCAGGAAAGTCTATGAGACACTTATATTATCTCCAATTAATAACTAAAATGCCAGAAGTCATTTACCAAAACGAGGCTGTACTAAAGCTACCAGCACAACTATGTTTATGGCAGCATTATTTACCATAGCTAAGATATGGAACTAACATAGATGCCCCTCAGTAGATGAATAGATCAAGAAAATGCCACACACACACACACACACACACACACACACACACACACACACACACACACACACACACACACACACACACACACACACACACACACAATGGAATTCTATGCCTCCATCAGAAAGAATGACACTGCCCCATTTGTTCGGAAATGGAAAGACTAGGAAAAAATTATATTAAGTGAAGTAAGCCAGGCCCAAAGAAACATAGGACCATGGTTTACCTTATTTGCAATAACTACTATATGTCTAGGACAAGCAGAAAAGGTCAAAAGCTATGTACATATGACCATATAACCTGATGCTAAGTGAAATGATCCCCAAGACAGAGACACAAACGGTTTTATCTCTCTTGCTGTTGTTTTTAAAGTACTTATAATGTACTTCTACATGATTTTTTTGTTTCTTTTGTATGTTCTTCCCCCATGTATCCGTTTTCACTGTATTGGATTCTGGTGCCCTGAATCCTGTGTATATATATATATATTTCTAATTTGGGGAGGGGAAGGGAAATAACAAAACGTTGAAATAAGGATATAGGTTGACTCATTGTAACAATGAGTTGTACAAGACAGTATGTTGAAAAAAAACTTTACAACTTCGGTGGGAGGGGGAGGAGGAGTTGGGGAGGTGGGAAGCCAAGGGATGGTGGGGGGAAAACAAAGGAGGAGTTAACAATGCTTGATAGGAAATGGACTCATTACCTTACTCTATCTTACAGATAGCTGATCTGAACCATCTGTATAGTATTTTTACAATAAAAATATATACAAAAATAAATAAAATACCAGAAGTAGCTCAAGTGGTAGAGTGCTAGTCTTGAGGGGAAAAAAAAAACGTTTAGGGACAGCACCTGGAACTGAGTTCAAGCTCCAGAACTGGCATAAAACAAAAACAAAAACAGAAAAATGTGGTCCCTACCCTCAGGGAGTTCGCCACTTAGTAGGGAATATAGGGTAATGCTCAAATATAAATATACAACAAGGAAAAAAAGGGAAAGGATATGGAAGAGTTTCAAGATTTGCTGATTTAAGGGGTGAAACAGAGTCAGAGAGTTCCTGAAGAGTTAAATGGTGTTTTAGTTCAGACCAGAAGAAGTTAAAGAGTTAAAGTGAATAAAGAGGCAGCCCCAGGAAGTATAAGAGCTCAGCATCCCTGGAAAAGAGAAGGAGCAGGGCTCTAAGGCAGGCCAGAGGCAAGATAAGAGCTGCCAAGGAAAACAGATGGCTGATAAGATCAGATCATGAGGCTGCTCCTAGGAAAGTGAGGATGGGACTGATTGAGACTGGAGAGGCAGGAAGGCCAGGCTGAATACAAAGTGGGAAGTGGGAGCCAAGCCTTTACTGTGTGTGCTCCCAGAGAACAGCAGAGGTGGGGAAAGACTCAGGGAACCAGTGACTGGGCACCAGAGTACTTGCCAGTTAGTTAGACAGAGACTGAAGCAGGAAGACTGAAGGGATGGGTGACATGTGGAAAGATGAACAAACAACAACAAAAGCAAACTGTAGAAGTGAGACTACAATAGTGAAGTGCAGTTAGAAACTTCGGTATTCAAATCCAAAGGCTCTCACCTTCCATCTCCACACCAGAACAATGAGTACTGGATTAAATGGATTAAATAGAATTATTTATATAGTAAGTGTTCCAAAAGGCTATCATTGCCTCATGATTATAAGTGCTACAACTTTTGTAAAACAAACAACAACCTCAATATGGTGTCTGATACCTAACATTCCATGTTTTGGACCTTTTCTTTTGCAGGCAATGGTAGTTAATCTTAAATATGCTCTTTCAGGGCAACAGATTTGTTCTTTTCTCATCAGGAAAAGACATAAAAGGTCTGGCTGTATCTTCTTTCAAAAACTTTCCTCTTAAGCTATGTCTAGCATTTCATTCTCATTTTGTTAACAGCATTTTAAGTTTATCTTGGAAACCATTCTGAATCCTCTACATAGCCCAGGGTCAGTCCATGTTCCAACTGTGGTCAGCATGGCATGGCTTAAGAGCCAAGTAAGCCCTGGGAGCCAGCCCCCAAACTTAGGTACTCAGCTTCCACATACATGGTAATTGGAAATGCTGATGGCTATTTTTGGTATTCCATGGTAAGTGCCTGTCTGACAATGACATCGTTAATGGGGAAAGAAAACAGAGAAGAGTAATGAGACAGATTTCTGTTAGTACTTGAAACAGCTTTTCCCGATAAGCGCTAGTATTTCTGAAGCTACTTTTCTGTCACAACCAAAAAGACCTGATGACCCAAACCACTAAATTTTAAAATTAGATAGGCCATTAGAATACTCTCTAAAATTATGTATTAAAAAACATAGCATAAGGGCTGAAGTACATAGCTTATTGGTACAGTACTTGGCCATCACATGCAATGGGTTGGGTCCCCAAAACAGGCCCAAGAACAGGTGCACACATATGCATGGGTGTGCACATGCACACGCACACACGCACATGCACGCACACATGCACACACACAAAGGAAACAACAAAAATATGTACTCTACAGGTTGAAGTTATTACAAGTTAAGAATCAATAAAGACTTCCCTGTCTATTTTCTTGTTCAATCTACTTTGCCACAATAATTGCGTTTTGCCAAAGTAGCATAATTTAACAAGCAAACTGTTCAATCCTGAGAAATAATATTGATGTGAATAGCAATGAACTGACAACATCCTTTTAAAAGAGCTCAAATTCAGTAACAGTAGCAATACCTTATTAAATATTTCACATTCTTTTTCATTAAAAAAGACAGAAACAAAAGGGTAAGATTATGTTAAGAGTGTCCATTTTTATAATCTAAATGCCTTACAAGTATTTTATAAAGTATAAAGAATTCTATTTTTCTCCATATGAATGCTGCCTTTGGTTTAATACCCAGTCATATTCTGACGTTTACCATCTCTTAATCTTAGTAGAGGAGATTACAGTTGAGAAGCTTGGAAAAGTAGATAGGTAGGATAAAGGCCATTAAATAAATGCTTCAGAGTAAAACAGGCCTGAGATCAAATCTCAGCTCTGCCTCCCACTAGTTTAATAGCCTTGGAAAGTTTCCTGAGTAGTACTTGTAAGGGATGTTATGAAGATTAAAGGAGATAATCTAGGGAAATTCCCAGCACTCTGCCAGTTCCTTTCTCTAGCATCCTAGCCATAAAGGACTTAAGTTATTTATAAGCAGTTGAATTGCAACTGTATTCTCCTTTATATTTACATTCACTTTTAGATAACACCAGCACTGACTGTGAGCCTCTACAAATACCAACCAAGGTTCCAGAAACTTTACAGGAGATAACTCCCAGATAACTGACTATACCTCTGAATGATTCAAAGGGGTATAAACCATAAGCCCTGAGCTTTTGTCTTAAAATATCTAACCATTTCAGATAAATGAATTCTAATAAAAAACGTCTTCATTTCTCTGCTTTTGTTGAAGAATAAGGGACCTGGTATCAGGGAACTATGTACTATTTATTATTACCTATCATATCTTACTGTCACATTTTAAACAAAATGACTTAGGTTTTAAAATTCACTGATGTCAAAATTTATCTGGCTGAAACAGAAACCAGGCCTTATTCCTAGAACTTCAACAGTAGAAAACAAGTAACCAAAGTCTGAATTACTCTCCTCAAAAGCAATATTCAAGAAACTGAAGTACAGAAAATAGGACTTCTCATATATGTGTGTGTGTGTATGTGTGTGTGTGTGTGTGTGTGTGTGTGTGTATGTTATATATGTGTGTGTGTGTGTGTCTCATACATATCTAAGGAATGTGGTTTGAAGCCAGTCTGTGCAGGAAGGTTCATAAGAATCTTACATCCAATAAACTACCAAAAAGCTGAAAGTGGAGCTGTGGCTCAGGGGTAGAGTGTTATCTTGAACAAAACAAGTTCAAGGACAGTGCCCAGGCCTTGAGTTCAAGCCTAGGAAGACCAGTACACACACACAGTCTCTCCCCTTCTCCCTCTCTCTCTCTTTCACACACACACACACACACACACACACACACAAACACAGTCACACACACAGAAAATATGCTATATGCTGTCCTAATTTCTGTACCTATGACTATGACCTTGTTTGGAAACAAGGTATTTGCAGAGATAATTAAGTTCAGATGAAGTCA